ATCAGTGCCTCACAGTGATTCCTTTGTCCTCCTCTTTCCACAGCTCTATGGAAGTGCTGGCAGTAACATCCTTGGTCTGCTGGGCTCTCTGCTGGCCTTCTGTTTTTTCTTTTACACCATCCTGACCACACACAGTGCAGACCAATGTCCTGATGTTAAAAACTATTACTCATATTTCGGCTGTCCCACCGCAAAGCTTGAGGTCAGTTTGATCAAGAATGTAATTTTTACCTTGTTTTTTTTCATTAATTTGTTTTATTTTCCCAGATTTCTTTTTTATTTTTCTATACTTTCCACTTCATGTATTTGTCAGTGTTAGGCATGGGCTGCTACAAGATTGTAACCTTAACCTGGAGTAAACATACCATGGTTTCACAGTATTACAGTAATAAAGCAAAAAACAAACAAACAAACAGAAAATTAAAAACAAACATGCAAACTGATACTTTGTATGTATGTATGTGTGTGTGTGTGTGTGTGTGTGTGTGTGTGTGTGTGTGTGTGTGTGTGTGTGTATACTGTATATGTATATATATATATATATATATATACATATATATATATATACACACACACACACACACATACACACACACACACACACACATACAGTATGTAGATACACTCACCGTGGTGTACCTAATAAAGTGGCCGGTGAGTGTATATACAGTATATATACACTCACCGGCTAGTAACGGGTTGGACCCCCTTTTGCCTTCAGAACTGCCTCAATTCTTCGTGGCATAGATTCAGCAAGGTGGTAGAAGCATTCCTCAGAGATTTTGGTCCATATTGACATGATGGCATCACACAGTTGCTGCAGATTTGTCGGCTGCACATCCATGATGCGAATCTCCCGTTCCACCACATCCCAAAGATGCTCTATTGGATTGAGATCTGGTGACTGTGGAGGCCATTTGAGTACAGTGAACTCATTGTCATATTCAAGAAACCAGTCTGAGATGATTCCAGCTTTATGACATGGCGCATTATCCTGCTGAAAGTAGCCATCAGATGTTAGGTACATTGTGGTCATAAAGGGATGGACATGGTCAGCAACAATACTCAGGTAGGCTGTGGCGTTGCAACGATGCTCAATTGGTACCAAGGGGCCCAAAGAGTGCCAAGAAAAGATTCCCCACACCGTGACACCACCACCACCAGCCTGAACCGTTGATACAAGGCAGGATGGATCCATGCTTTCATGTTGTTGACGCCAAATTCTGACCCTACCATCCGAATGTCGCAGCAGAAATCGAGACTCATCAGACTAGGCAACGTTTTTCCAATCTTCTCTTGTCCAATTTCGATGAGCTTGTGCAAATTGTAGCCTCAGTTTCCTGTTCTTAGCTGAAAGGAGTGGCACCCGGTGTGGTCTTCTGCTGCTGAAGCCCATCTGCCTCAAAGTTCGACGTACTGTGCGTTCAGAGATGCTCTTCTGCCTACCTCGGTTGTAACGGGTGGTTATTTGAGTCACTGTTGCCTTTCTATCAGCTCGAACCAGTCTGCCCATTCTCCTCTGACCTCTGGCATCAACAAGGCATTTCTGCCCACAGGACTGCCGCTCACTGGATGTTTTTTTCTTTTTCGGACCATTCTCTGTAAACCCTAGAGATGGTTGTGCGTGAAAATCCCAGTAGATCAGCAGTTTCTGAAATACTCAGACCAGCCCTTCTGGCATCAACAACCATGCCACGTTCAAAGGCACTCAAATCACCTTTCTTCCCCATACTAATGCTCGGTTTGAACTGCAGGAGATTGTCTTGACCATGTCTACATGCCTAAATGCACTGAKTTGCCGCCATGTGATTGGCTGATTAGAAATTAAGTGTTAACGAGCAGTTGGACAGGTGTACCTAATAAAGTGGCCGGTGAGTGTATGTGTGTGTGTGTGTTTTTTTTATTATTTTCTAGGTAAAATATTTATGTATATTTTTATTGTATTGCATAAATATACTGGTGCAGCTCAAGAAGTTTGTTTTTACCAGTTCAGAAAGTGAAACAGTTCACAGAGTTAAACATTTCAAGCCTTTATTTTTTATGTAATTTTGATGATTATTGACAAATAATGAAAAAACAAACTTGAGTGTCTCAGAAAATTTGAATTTTATAAAAGATCAATAAAAAAACTGATTTTTTAAACACAAATGTCTTAAACGTATTCTCATGTCCATGATACTTGACTGGACCTTTGAATGGACCCCTGCAGGCAGYGTGGCCTGGAGCTGAGCAGCTGCTCAGGTGTGTTGGCTGCTGTCAGACAGTCTTTAGGTCATTGTTGAGTCTGGTGTCTCCCACCATCCTCTTGACAAGAGCCCAGATACTCTGTATGGGTTCAGACCAGGCCGGTTTGTTGGTCAGTCAAACACGCTATGATCATCAAACYAGCTTCTGGACACTGTGATTGAACACCATGGTTTACTTTGAAACCAATAACTGGCCCATGCCTAGTCAGTATACACACTTATATTAGTCTTATTAGAATGTATCACCACAGTGTGTGTAACTTTACATTGTCTTGTCTGTTGCAGGCCTATTCTTGGAGTTTGACTTGTCTTCTGTTGATCTACGACACTCTGGCTGTGATCATGCACTGTTTTCTGACATTCTCTGCCTACAAAACACTAAAAACAGGCTAAAACAGATCAAACCAAAAAAGCATTCATAACTGCAGAAAAACTGAACACTTCTAAAACTAAAACCATTTTTACTGGAGTTTTTTTTAAAACAATTCTTTACTCACCTGTTGAAAACTAAATACAGTACGTCCTAACATCAAGGAGTCTAACAATAATAATACTAATAATTCTAAAATGTTAGATTAAAAACAAAAAAAAGGTTTTGATTATGTTTTCAGAAATGACCTGAACTTTGTAACTTCAGGTTATGCTAACTTGTAATCTGGAGAGAAACGCTGCAGAGCTTCAGTGAAAACCCAGCTCTCATCATGTTGGTGGGATTTTGTTGGGACAGGATTGGCGTCAAATATGGTGTAAAAAAAATAGCTAAAGCAAAGGTACATATTTTATTCTCTGTTTCTGAACTTTTATATGCAGTATATAATGTAAGTCAATGCTGGTAACTGAAAATCATTAAATAATTGTTCTTATATTGTTTATGTAAAAAGCTTGTTTAAATAAAAAAGGTGTTACAATAGATCTCCAGATCTTGTCTGATTTGTGCCACCTTTAAAATGTCAGCCAATATAAAGGCGCTGTATTCAGCACTCCTCAGCACCTCCTGAGTTGGTGAAACAAAATTTCCATCTATCTTTTATTGCTTATTCAGCACCAGGTGGTTGGTGTTATTCCCTGACCTACCTGTCCCCACTGCCCCACTGCAACCCATTCTCACTCCCGAGTCGTCACATGTCGACGCTTTTCCAAGGTTCCCTCAGCATCCAATTTTGACGCGTCGGGTGCTCCCCTTGTGTCATTTTTCGACGAGATGGGGCGGAATTTGCTGTCATAATTTCTGAAAGTGTAGAAAATGCACAAAAACTACCGTCCCAAAGCCTAAAATTGCCTTTATTCACTTTAGACATCCTGTCCCTGACCCACCTAAAATTAACCATTTTTAGAAAATATAGGAA